ACCAAGTTTCTCGAATTCCTTGGCATTGTCGGCTTGTAGATTGCCGATGTCGGTAGGCGGTAGGTATTGGAGAGTGTTGATGTCAGACTTGAAAGTTGTGATGGCTTGGAGGCGAAAGAGTTCGTAGGCGTCATAAAGGTCCTTGCGGAAGGCGAGTAGGTAGACCCAGGTAAAACGGGAGTAGTCGTCGATAAACACGACGAAGTAGAAGCTGCCACCAATCGACGGCACAGGGCACGGCCCCCAAATGTCGGTGTGAACGAGAAGGAGGAAGGAGGAGGCGCGAAAGACGGCTGCGGAGGAAAATTGTTGTCGACGGGACTTGGCAAATTCGCAAGTATCGCAGGTGAAGGATTTGAAAAGGTGTGGGCGATCGGTAGAGAAGTCGGGGTGGGTCTTGACGAGGCTTTGGAGAACGGTGGAGCTTGGGTGGCCAAGGCGGTTGTGCCAAAGGCGGAAGAGGGCTGCGTTAGATAGGCGTGTGGTTGAGGTGGTTGCAGTAGTCAGTGCAAGGGAAGGCGTCGTAGGTGTTGAAGTTGTAGGGGGAGGCGAAGATAGAAGAGGTTTGTTGGTAGATGGAGGGATGGGAGTGGACTGGATCGGAGTGATAACGTTGGAAGTGTGGGACAAGGCGTGTACTGGAGAAAATTTCGAAGTGCCGGATAAACAGGAAATAAGGGACGAGGCGTTGGGACGAGGCGCTGGGGTTGGGGGAGAGAGTGTGGTGGTAGGCGGTAATGAGAAATGTACAGCCTTGCTTGATGGAGACTTGAAGATAGTGTGTTTAGGCGAACGTCCAAAGTAAATAATATAGATGTGCAATTGATCGATTACTTCGGAGCGCACCGCGGCTTGTACAGTAGATTCAAGCGTAGAGATGGAGAACGGAGTAGGCGTGGCGAAGTTGATATGGTATGGATTTGTATCACCAAGGGAAGGGTGAGCAGCTAGGGTAGCCTGAAATTCCATGATGGCAGCTGCAACGGTAGCAGGAGGTGAGGCGGAGGATTGCTGGCTAGGCGTGTGTAAGGCTACGCCGGAAAGGAGTAGAGTCCCAAGGCGTTAACTTGAGCACGCAAATAAAGTCCACGACCGATGTCCATGAGGCAGTGTGATGGGTGCGAGAAATCAAAGTGGCAGCCAGCTTGCACACAGTGACGGACGGAGAGAAGGTTGAATTGTAAGGCGGGGCAATGTAGGGCAAAGGGTAGAGAAAGAGGCTCATGATGAGCGGTGAGAGTGGC